TTCTTGATGAGACTCTGTCGCGTACTGTTGTTGCGTCTCTGTCGCATACTCTTGATGAGATTGTGTCACGTACCCCGTCGTGTGAGAGTCTGTCACAGATTCTTGATGAGACTCTGTCGCGTACTGTTGTTGCGTCTCTGTCACGTACCCCGTCGTGTCAGAGTCTGTCACAGATTCTGGATGAGACTCTGTCGCGTACTGTGGTTGCGTCTCTGTCGCATACTCTTGATGAGATTGTGTCACGTACCCCGTCGTGTGAGAGTCTGTCACAAACTCTGGTTGCGTCTCTGTCACACACTTTTGCTGAATTTCCTCTGAGTGAGTTTCACGCGTTGTCGCTTGAACGGGAAGCGAAACCCAGATATTAGAATCTGAGAGGTTCACTGGCACGGACGACACAATGGGCGGCATGGGGGACCTAACCAAAACCACCACCTGGGCAGGCTTGTCCACCAACACCCCCAATTGGACAGGATTATTCAACTTTTCCGGTTGTTTTTCCGCATCATCCGTTTTTTCCGGTTCGTCCTGCAAATATCTTTCCATTTCGACACATGTTTGCTGCCAATAGTCCTCCAAAGACACTTTCCATTTGAAATATCCCGTGTCGGTGACATCTTGCAATTCGCGGAATAAGTTTCCGCTCGGTAAAACGTCCATCTCAGTTCCTGCTTACATGTGATGCCGATCGATGCGAATATCGCGCGGCGCGACTTACCCCTGCCACGGCTCGCGGGCGACTAGCGGCCGGACTCAACAACCTATTTATCGCCAGATTTGTTTTCTCGACATGGAATTTTGTGAAGAGCTAATTAATGCATTACATTTTAAACGTTATTGCGTAGGACAGTGATGTTGTAATCCCGCGTTTTGTTCGCTAACGATGAATAGTATCGAATTTACAATACGGTAAATGATTTTTGAAATAAGAATCGTATATTGTTTCGTTGAATTAATGATAATATATGAAGGTTTAATTTCGTTTTTTTTTGTGTTATTAAAAAGCGTTTGAAAATAATTATGACATTATGTTTTCTATTCATATTCGAATTTTAAAAAGTAGGTTATCTAATTTTATTTTTATATTTAGTTGTGTACATTGTTGTTTATTTAAAGACAAAAATACATACTCAGTAACTTAATTTTTTTTTCGTCAAATACTGATCTGAAACATCTTCGTTAAGCAGTCTTATAAATAAACCATTCGGCTAGGTAACTAAACCAAGCAATGTTTACAACTATAAAAGTCATAACCACAGAATCGGAATCAACATAAACAATCTAGAGCAATCAATACAACATTTACACCACAGATTATTAAAATACTAAATTAAAATTTTATTAAAAAAATCTATAGTTCATTGATCCGTACGTTTTATAGACAGGGAAAAGGAATTTATAGCTTCAAATCTATTTTTGTTTATGGCTAGCTGTCATGGCTCACTCAAGTGATTAAAACAAAAAACAACACTTGTTGAGGTTCGCCGTGTAAGTGAGGTCACCGGGGGCTCCATCCTTCCTCTCCCCCAATCCCCAAATCATCTTTTTTATGTGATAGATCGGCAAAGGAACACACGGATTACCAGATGGTGAGCAATCAGCACCGCCCATGGACACCCGCAACAACAGAGGAGTTATGAGTGTGTTGCCGACCTTTTGGAGATTTGGGATTGAGAGGGGAAGGATTGGGCCTCCGGTAACCTCACTCACACGGCGAAACACAACTGTGGTTGTTTCACGCAGGTTTTCAGCGAGGCCGTGGTATCACTCCGGTCGAGCCGACCCATTCGTGCCGAAGCATGGCTCTCCACTTTCTCAATTACGTTTTATTCGCCATCTTATAATTCCATTATGAGATAATTCTTTATTTAAATTGTCCGTTATTATCCAAAAGATGACTTTCATTGAGTAAGTTGAATCAATGAAAAAACCAGTATATACTGACCGTTGTATGTTTGAAAATTTCATACAATGTGAGTTCAAGATACACTGGTTTATTGATTTTCTAAAGCTTGCTGTGTGGTATGTGTTCTATCACTTAACCTCACCTGTTGAATTGAAACTGTGTGAGTGTTAGAACATAATAGCGAAATGAGAAAATCTTTATATTTTTAGGCGATAATTCGAGAAACTATCTTATGGTTTACCTGATGGTAAGCAATCAGACACGCTGTACTCTTGAGGCGTTGTAAGAGCATTGTCAGTTTTTTTGGGGATAATCGGTTTTGGGGATTTAGGGATTACGACTCTTTAGGATTTAGGAATTATTAAAACTCTCGTTCAATAATACATTATTAGTATTTTCCTAATTTATTTACTGTCCTAATTTCAATTAATCACTATTGTTTAATTAAAATTTCGTAACTGCTGAGCGCGGTTTAAAAATCGAAACACATCGTGACGTCACGTATCAACAAGGTCGAGCTTAGAATCTGTCAAACGGTTGCCATGGTTACGGGGCTATCGTTGCGTTGGTACCTACCTACCTATGTAGGAAAGAATTTGGTATCGTCTCGACGCTAGTGCCATCTGTTTTTTAGCGCGAAATTTAATCACCATAGGCTGAATGTTTTTTTTAATTGAAATGATTGCATATTATAGCCTTCTACCGTTCTTATGTTTTACGCTCAGAATACAGAACAAACCAGAAGGCGTCATCGCGCTTCATACTGAAGTCACTAAAACCATTCTTAACTAGAGTAGTATAAAATTTCTACGATCAGTCAATTTTGGCACGTGGCATGTCATGACGTAGTTACGAGTATCAATTTTAATTTTATTACGCCGTCTTGTGTTATTCCTAGAAGTAAAAATGAGACTGAAATTATGAAAAAAGTGGATAAGATTACATTTAATATGTAAGCAATTAAGCATCGATTGCAATAGTATATTTAATTAATTATTGATTTTTTTCTACCAATTTATTTTTCTATGAAAATAATGCGGCCATTTTGTGAGTGTTGTCATTGCTGGTGAAAATTTTACCCACTTATTTATTTGTTGTGAGTTATATTTTTGACCATTGTGGAACCTTTGTCATAATAGTTTCCCTGTCAACGAAAAAAAAAAATGAAAATGGATAAAAGTCACACAAAGAGCACGGTTACATAAATTTTGGAATTTATCTAGCCGGAGCATAGTTTGCTCAATTCACTTTGAAGAAAAGGTGGTGTAAAAAGACTGAAAGAAAATAGCAACTCCTACTAACTATACTAATTATAATGCCGAAGAGTTTGTTTGTTTGTTTGCTTGAACGCGAAATAATTGAATATCATAAAAACTAAATCAGCAAAAGAGACCGCAATAAAACCTTTGTACTTATTGAAGCTTTATTTTACTTTATTTTATTTGTTGTGTATAGCAGGTGTAACTAAAATTAACACAGCCAGAAATCATCAACCTTTATAATACCTGCATGAAATTTGTAATAAACTAGTCTGTTCCATTTATCTTAAGTTTACCTATATTTTTTTGGGTATTCCCAAAAAGATATATCTCATCCTCCATTTGTAAAATTGCCCCAAACCAAGGGAATTGTTCTACTATCGGCAACACTACGCGGGTGGGAAGTGCGGCTGGCGGGGGGACTGACGTATTGTTTTTGGACACATTTGAAGACATGTAATTATGAGTGAACGCGGCTTCTGGTTTGTTCTGTATTCTGAGGTTTTACGATATTTTTCCATCCCCGTGTGTCAGTGGTTGTCTGAATATTTGAGAAAGTACCAAGTTTGCCAGGTCCGCTAATAATGTAGGTACCTACAAAAACTGAATTTCTAAGAAACCGTTTTAGCGCGAAATTCAAATAGTATCGAATTAAAAATATTTTTAAAATGTCAAATGACTTCTCCCGCCCAGTGCCGGGCGGTGGGCGAGAGGGAGTGTCAGACTTACTGACTAAAAACCCCCCTGTTCCTTCTCCTGCTCTGGACCGAGGTCGCGGAGCCTCATTGCGCTTATCCCGCAACCCCGGCTGAACTTCAATTAGACCCTTACATGCACTTTTGGCACAATTGTACGTCAAACAAAGCTTAAAGATAAAAAGTGTCAGTCTGTCGGTCAGACCTCTTAGTGAAGCTATTTGCTCGTTCCAGAGTGTAAATTCCGATGGCGAAAAATGAGCAAGAAACTCCATGGTTACTCTTTTCAAATCAGTTTCATATACAGATTCTTTGGTTATTTAATTGGATTAAGTAAATCTATTTTATAATTTGAAAGTCTTAGCCAATTAATGTTATAGTACTCTCTTATAGATGCAGAAGTTTTTGAATACTTTGGTTGTTTTTTTATTTTATTACAACATTACCTACATCATAAACACGTTGGTGGTCGATTAAATTTAAGTTTGGTTGTAAAAAGTTTTAGAAGAGGTCATTAGGAAAAACGTATGATAAAAAAAACTTGTACTTTTTTTGAATCGGTAAGAGATGGATGTCGCTGACAATTTTCAAACTGTTGAGTATTGATATTCGGATTTGAAAATCGATCGTCATTTTTTTTTTGTTTCCGTTGTCGGTATTGGTAGTTTGTTCCAGTAACCGTTTTGGAAAATATCGATATCTATAGCTTAAAAAAGCTTTTGAATTTGTTTCGACTAAAGCATTGGATTTAAATATAGGAAAAATGGCAAAATTTCTTAACTATTCTGTACGTTTAAAATATGATAAACGGAAAATACTTTTTGATTACTTGAGACCCTAGTTTTTCTTTAATAAAGAAGAAGCTTAACCAAAGACAACGGAAGCAACTTAATCAAAGACTTTTTTTATTTTTGTTAGCAAAAAGAAAAAGTTCCGAATTTATAATGCAAAATATAAAAAAGTCACAATGCTACTAATTCATAGACTCGTCTATGATGTTTTTGCCGATTTTCAATTCATATTAAAATAAATAATATTTATCGAGTAGACGTAAATAAATAGTTTTATACGATTTAAAATTCGAATCTGAATATCGATTACTCATTTTCGAACTACCATCTCAGATCGAAACGCGATACTATGGAGTTGCTCCGAGTTCCTGGCACTAAATGGTGTGGCAAGGGATTCTCGGCGACACGTTACTCTCAGCTCGGAGGGCACACAAGAACTGATAGATGCTGTCGCGTCCACGACTTAAGATGCCCATTCTGGATCGGCGGCATGGAGAAGAAATATGGAATTTACAACTGGCGTGTCAACACGCTCATGCATTGCCGATGTGACGAAAGGTATGGCTGTATAGTTGATTGTCGTTGCCTGAATGTTTATTTTTTTGCGCTGCTGTCAATGTCATTTGGTTTTGGCGGGAGATTTGCTTGTTTTTTTTTGTTTTGAGGTTATTGTTGTTTTGTTTTGCATGATGTTTTGATGTGGTGATGGTTGATGTGTGTTTTTTTTTAGATTTATTTGATTTAACTTAGTGTTATTTGAAACTTAAAATAGAATTTTAATAATTATTGTTGATAAACTTTTCACGTATTTACAACTATGAGATACGTCTGTTTATTAAAAAGAAAAAACATTCTACCTATCTATAAAATTACCCAACTTGATAAATAAATAACACAAAAAATAACTTTCTCAACTAAAAAGATACAAAAATTAATTAACCAATAGACTCAACTAATAACCAAATTAATTTCCTAATTACAAATCTCATAGAACTAATAAAAAACTGACATTATAAAGAATTTATGTCTATTATGACTTTAACCTCCATGGAAGGAACCTTTTTTTAAAAAAAAATGTCTCCCAAAATGGCTGTCTGACATTAATAAAGTCATTTCCTTGTCCCCATATCCTAGCGTAAAGAATTGATGTGATATAGTGAAAATAAAATAAAAACCTTCGACTCTACTATTCTGAGATAAAATTAAAGAGAACAAAGAAATTAGTGGAGATGGTGTTGCTATTATTTTTATTATTTTTTGTTGAACTGGAAAATGTTTTTTTATTCATGTTGGTATTCGCCAGTCTGTCTTTAGCCTTACTTTAATTTTTTTGCAAGGCTGAAGACACACTGGCAAATACTGTAGTGAATATGACACAAGTGAGTTTAGATCAACATATTATGTTTTTTTATTACCTATTGGCGAACTAGACAAAAATATAATGTTTTGTTCCTTTCCTTCCATCAGTCTTTAAATTCCCAATTCCCAAAGATCCCTTACTGTCTAATTATGATATCACAAATAATTATTATATTTGTGTAATTTTAGAAAATTTTAGGCTCAACTACCCGTAGAAATAATATTTTTTTCTCTTTATTGAAGTTTCACGCTGTGTTATGTCCATAGTATGTTGGCTATAAGCTCGTGTCTGTAGAGATAAATGAATTGGCATTTATTTACATTTCTATTCTAATTACAAATCAACATTATCAGCTTGAAAGTCCTTTGCGCTTCTCACATGGAGAAGGTTTGAGCATTAATCACCACGCTTGCTCAATGCGGATTACTTATAATTAAAACTAATTATAATAAGAAATAATAAGTTCAGGCTTTTCATAATGTTTTCCTTCACCGTATATCAAAAAAAAAATACCAAAGAAATAAAATAGGCCAAACAAAGTCATACCCACTCCATCGCTTTTTTTTTCTATCCAACAAAAAAGGTACAGATTGTATCTCTCACCTTCTCTTCTAATTGGTGCTCATAAATATATATCAGAGCGAAGAATCTGTCTGTCTGTTTGTGTGTCCTTTGATAAAATGAGAGTCTTCATTACTTAATTAGTTAAAAAAATATTTCCCAAAAATCTATGTATCTATATCTCAAAAGTTTTTAGCTCGAATCGAGTACTTGTACAAAATGTAAAACTTACAAGATACCAATGTGACTTTTTCCAAATAATATGTACTTTCTATGATTATTTAGACACCACTTAGACATATGGTGAAGGAAAACATCGCAAAAAAATCTAGACTTAAATTTCTAATTATAAGTTTAAATTCGTCAATAAGATTTGATGGACTTATAAGTTCTAATTATAAGTCTGAAATCGCCAATTCGCTTTGAGCAAGCGTGGTCATATATCCTCAAACCTTCTCCGTATGAGTAGAGGCCTTTGCTCAGCAGTGAGCACTTATAGGCTGATGATGATGTGATGATGAGTCTTTTAATAATAACGCTGCCTCAATTTTCTAAGCAGTCAAAACTACCAGGTTTTTTTAGAAGGGGTAACGTCAATATTTTTTTTCTCTAGCCTCACTCACTCCCCCAGCTCACCGTCACCAAGAAGGGCTAGAGTCATGCTTCGGCAAATCGGCACTTATGCGTCGACTCGACCGGCGTGATAAAACGGCCTCACAGAAAACCGACGTGAAACAATCATAGGTTTGTGTTTAGCCGTGTGAGTGAGGTTACCGGAGGCCTAATCCCTCCCCCAGGCCCTAAATCTCAACAAACCTTATGGCCAAATTGTCTTCTCTCTTACTTCTCCATTGTTGCGGTTGCTAATTGCTTACCAATAGGTAATCCACATGCTCGTTTACCATCGTACGTACCTATCTACATATTATGTGAAAGCCCACCCATCCAAAAGTCAACCTTAACATATATCGCTTATTCCACACAAAGACAAAGTAAAAATCTGTACAAAAAGATCGATATCTCTAATTCATTCAACGTCAAAAAAAAAGAAATGAAAAAACTTAAACTAGGTGTTTATGGTCTCCAATTGTCATTTAATCTTTTTTTTAACTTCGGTTCGGAGGCAAAGGGAGGAATCCTACACAGCCTTGTATCGAGTTCGAATCAGAGATCGGTCGAATCGATAACATATTTGTGTTATTTTTGTCCGTACAATATATTATTAGGTTAGAATTGTTACGTTTTTATTAAGAATACAAAGGTGTTGAAGAAAAGAACTATTTTCGACCATTAATTGAGTAATTTACTACAACTTATCATCACATTTAGATCGCTCAATATACCCTTAACTTAGCGGTTTTTCTTTAATGTGAGTTCTTTAAATATTTCTTCCGTCGCGTAAAAAGACTAGCGTTGCGTAATTGCGTTTCGCCGTGTGAGTGAGATTACCGGAGGCCCAATCCCTCCCCTCTCCCATTCCTAAATCTCCAAATCCCAAATCAATAAAAGGTCGGTAACGCACTCATAACTCCTCTGTTGTTGCGACGCTGATTGCTTACCATCAGGGGCCCCAGTCTACTATTTTCAAAGTGTTGTCATTCCTACACGATTCCATTGTCATTTTGCTAAAAGTTCGTAATCTGTTAATTCAAAATGGCTGATCATTGGCATTCGGCGATGTCGAACGCGTCGGTGGCGTACGAGTTGTCTTATAACGAATTATAAACAGTAACTGCAAATTAATATTCTAAACGTAAATCCTAACTAATATTATAAATGCGAAATTAACTCTGTCTGTCTGTCTTTCTGTCTGTCTGTCTGTCTTTTCTTCTCGCCTAAACTACTGAGCCGATTCCTGTGAAATTTGGTACAGACATAGTTTGGAACTCGAGAAAGGACATAGGATAGTTTTTATTCCAAAAATCTGCAGGAAGTAACTTTTCCACATGAACAAAGTCGCGGGCAAAAGCTAGTCATTAAATAAAGGAACTGACATTTTTTTATTAATTTACCGCATTATGTCAAATATTCATTTGTCTTAATGTACGAGATTACCGTTCTAAAGAATTATTTCAATTGGTTGATCATTGGAAAGTCATAATGACGCTATCGTGTTAGTAGATTACCAAACTTGTCAAAATCAACAATTTTGAAACCAATGATCTGAAATTCAATCAAAACCAATTTGAAACTATTCTGACACTATTGTAATAGCAGACTCGAGGCCCAGGTAATCCGTCTGCTCGTTATCCGACCTATTTATTTATTGATTATTAGCCGTGCATGAAGATTGATAAAACGAAAGAGGTACCTATGCCATAATCCTTTTAACCATCGTTGTTGTTGTTCCTTCGACACACACGTCACATACACATCATCAGCTTATAAGTGCCCACTGCTGAGCAAAGGCCTCTTCCGACACGGAGAAGGTTTGAGCTTTAATCACAACGCTCTCTCAAGGCAGATTGGCGATTTTTAACCTATAATGAGAAATTATAAATTTAGATTTCCTCACCATGTTTTCCATCGAAATATTTATCATCGATAATCATAGAATGCACATATAACTCGGTAAAAGAAACAATGGTGCTTGCCAGGTTTTAAACCCGCACTCTTATGCATGAGAAGCGGGCGCCTTGACCTCCGGGCCACCACGACTATGCTTCGACACACATTTTTTTAGGAGTAGTATGTGAGAACGCTTTTTCATGTCAAAATTGAGTAATACAACCTTTATAGTAAGTATAAATTACAAACGCTTGAACACCGAAGTATCAAAAACCAAAATATTACTTCATTACCCCTGTTCGCTAACAAAATGGGCATTGAAAAAGTTTAATGAAGAATACAAAATTAGAACAAGAACAAAACAAAGACGTCTCATCTAGTCGCTATCGATTTTTTCCACATTTCTGAACGCAAACCGTTTACGTCAACTTGACGCGCGATGGCGCCATTTTCTCCGTTCGAAATTCGAAAATCGCGCGCGGCTCAATGGGCGGGTAATGGCGCGGAAAGCATAGACTAAACAGGTGTCCGCTTCCTACCAAGTTTATTTTCAGTCAGTTCTAAAATTGAAAATGTTGCGAACTTACGCGGTTATTTTCTGTTTAAAGACGTACGTTGTTTTATTTATTTGTTCTTTTTAAGATAAGAATAGGAATGACTCTTAATTTGTATTTGAGACTACGATTTGTGGTTCAAACATTCTCGGTACGGTATGATTTAACTTACTTATTATGGTCTGTTACTGAATAATAGGAACCTAATTAAGTAGATTTTATCTATGGAGTAGATTAGGTAACGTTTTTTCTAAATCTTTCTATGCTGCCGTCTCAAGGTAGTCAGAGAGTGTCACTCAATCCTTGAATATTTTTTCTTTTAGTTCCTCTACTTTCAAATATCGAGTCATAAAACTTAAGTATACGAATATTTTTTTGCTTTCTTCAATTTCTTGGACCACCCCAGGTGAGCGTTAATAACAAATAAATCTTTAAACTCTAATCCTTTTTACCTCACGAAAAAAAGAGGACATAATTCAAAATGCACAAAAAAGAAAACGATCACATTTTCCCGCGAAAACCGCTGTCAAAAAACTGTCAGAGGCCGCCATCTTGGCGTTTATGGTCGCGTTTCGTTATCGCCACGCTCCGTAGGATTTATAATGTGTGAATAATACGCCGCAGAGGTTAAATATGCTGGGTGACAATACATAAATTATGAGAGTGGGGCCTCCTCTGGCGGCTAGGTGAGATAACTATATTCTTGTTTATCGGCTCGGAAAGGTTTCTTAGTTTGGGGACAACAACAATGGATCTGTTTGTGACGTCATTTATTTGGATGTTTATAAAATGGGCCATTCAGGTGAGTTCTTTGGCTGGTCACCGATTCTGACACTGTGAGTTATTTTGGTGACTTTATTAGAATTCTTTCATTTGAATAAAGATGACCTAATTCGTTAATATTAGGTACTAGATTCTTCGAACACAAATACAAATATCATCTATCTCTGTGCCAAATTTTGTTCAAATCCGTTTAGTAGTGTTTATGTGAACGTGTGACAAAAATCAATCTATTTATCCATACTTGCATGCATTCGCATTTACAACACCTCTTTACCAAAAGAATGAAGATTCCAAATAGCTTCTAATAGACTGACTGATACATGTATGTAGTAAATAGTATGTAGGTATGTAGCACATGTAGGTGCTTTTTTTGTGAGGGGAAAATCATCGAATGACTTCTCCCGCCCAGGGCCGGGCAGGAGGGAGTGTCAGACTCTTACTGACTAAAAACCCCCCTGTTCCTTCTCTCTGGGCCGAGGTCGCGGTGCCTCATTGCGCTTACCCCGCAACCCCGGAGCACATGTAGGTGCTAGCTACGTTGCTTTCAAAACTACTACTAGGAGAGGAGGTCGTTCTAATTATGATGCTTGTTCTCAGTTTTTTTTTTTTATTTTATTTTTTTATTTAATATGTCAGCAAACGAGCTGACGGATTACCTGATGGTAAGCAATCAGCGCCGCCCATGGACACTCGCAACGGAGGAGTTACGAGTGCGTTGCCGACCTATTAGGGATTTGGAGATTTAGGGATTGCGGAGGGATTGGAGGAGGATTAGGTCTCCGGTAACCTCACTCACACGGCGAAACACAACGCTGTGGTTATTTCACGCCAGTTTTCTGTGAGGCCGTGGTATCACTCCGGTCGAGCCGACCCATTCGTGCCGAAGCATGGCTCTCCCACACTTGCAAGTCATCTCAGTGCATAATATTGATTTAAATGCTGAAAAATTGACTGGATTTGGTGACTAGCCTTTTCTGTGATACGACGGCAAACGACTAACGAATGGTAAGCAATCGGCGACGCCTCATAGACACATGCAACAACAGAGGCGTTGCAAGTGTGTTGCTGGCCTTTTGGGGATTTAGAGATTGGAGGGGGGAGGGATTGGACCTCCGGTAACCTCACTCGTGCGGCGAAACAGAACGCTGTGGTTGTTTCCCGCCGGCCTTTTGTAAGGCCCTCGTATCACCCCGGTAGCCATGAAGCATGGCTCTCTCAGTCAGTCAGTCGGTTAGGTCTAGAAGGTCTCCTGTCATGTATGAGAGTGTCTTCAAACCTGGCTAGTACCAATGTGGCTTTTTCCGAGTTATATGTACTTTCTATGATTATTTAGACACCACTGATATATGGTGAAGGAAAATATTGCGGAAACCTGAACTTATAATTTAATTAGACGAGGCGTGAGTGAGTGTCAGACTCTTACTGACTAGAAACCATCCCGTCCCTTCTCCTGCTCGAAGTCAAGACGCTTGGTCTGCCTCCATATGATTTTCCGAAACAATCAAAGCTCATCTTATACTGGTTTTTCATGTACATAGATTGGTCTGCCTCTGTATGACTTTACGAAGCAATCACAGTTCATCTTATACTGGTTTTTCATACACATAGTTTCTACAAAGTTCTATTTTCGCAAAACAAAATAGTTGCAAGTTGACTGCGCGTGAGATATTAACCAAAATAGATTTTCTAGTTCCGACCACGGTACGTAAGATTTTCACTTTCAATATTCGACTTTATCTGTTAAAGAATAACGTCGAGAATGTGATAAACAAATTTGACAGATAGGATAGCTTTATCAGCGGTTGTCATCGTCATTTGTCTCAGCGCCTCCTTTCAGATGTGGGAGAGCCAAGCTTCGGCACTAATGGGTCGGCTCGACCGGAGTGATACCACGGCCTCACAGAAAACCGGCATGAAACAACCACAGCGTTGTGTTTCGCCGTGTGAATGAGGTTACTTTACGCCCAATCCTTCCTCTCCCCAATCCCAAAATCTCCACATCCCTTATCCCCTTTAGAGGTATGACAGAGTGGAACGTTTCTCATCCTCCATTGATTTTTTCTATCGGTTCTAATTGCGATGAGAACTCTTTTATCGCGATGTAGAATCTTGCACGTGATTGGTGCTGTTGTCAATGTTGTGCGATAGATGTCGCTACACCCCAAAAGGTCGGCAACGCACTCGTAACTCCTCTGTTCTTCCTAGTAAAATAAATCTTACTTACACTTACTATAAATTAATCTGGTGATCTGGAACGCGCCGAACTTTAATGTGTTTGTTTGGGTGTTTGTGGATTTTTTTTACATTCCCTGTTGTGAAGTCTAACTAAACATACAATTACGCGGGTATTAACGCGAAATGTATTTGTTGAAATACCTTGGTAGGTTTGACGTTTCAACCTGACTTTAACAACCTTCAACGTTGACTGCACGGTTGGGGTTCGATTCCCGCACGGAACAACTCTTTGTGTAATCCACAGATTGTTGTTCCGACTCTGGGTGTGATGTGCATGTGAATATGTATGTTTGTAAACGCACCCACGACCAACCAGGTTTTTTTTTTTGTGGGGCACATTAGGATTTTCTCCAGTGTCGTGGTTTTTTTTTTAAAAAAACCTGGTTGCACAGGTCGTGGTCACAAGCAGACTGAAGATGCGATGTCACAGCTCGCTGCATTCGGGCGATGAATCTACATAAATAGAAAATGAAAATAAAGGGGATAGATCGTCAATCCTACCAAGGTATTTCAATTAATACTTTTTGCGTTATTACCCGCGTAATTATAGGAATGTTTAGTCAGACTTCACAACAGGGAATGTAAAAAAAATCCACAAACACCGAAACACACACACACACATTAAAGTTAGGCGCGTTCCAGATCATCACATTATTTTATAGTAAGTTTAATTTATTAATTATTATTTTGTAAATATAAAACGGGAAAAGTTTAAAAGTAAGTACCTAAGTCTAACTAAACTTGAGGAGACTCCGTTCACGATATCCAAACGAATCCAAGCCCTCTTACAATATACCCACTTCATTAAAGACGCAATAAATCGATATCTCCCTGCTATTATCGAGTCATTCTGGCATTGTATCGACGATCGGCCATTATTTTAGCAATCTCTAGTCTATGGACTAGTTTGTGGCCGCGTTCTGATTCACCGTTATCAGGGTTGCCAAGTAGAAATAGAAAGTTTTAGGAAATATAGAGTAACTAGCTTTTGTTTGCGACTCCGTTCGCGTTTAATAGTGACTTGATGCTCCATACCACGTGCTCGGAACACCAGAGAATTCAAACAAATAAATGCGTAACCAACTTTTAGTTATTACATTGTCAGGTATCTTGCGTTTAACGTATAAAGAAAAGGTACGATAGTGGAAACAGTTTACCAATGAATCTAAAGTTTCAAACTAATATAAGTAATATTATGAATGCGAAACTAACTCTGTCTGTCTGTCTGTGAGAAAATGAAGTGATCAGATACCTACCTAATCGAAATTTTAAGATTGTATGAAAGCATAACATTATTTAACTCTGTATACCGAAACAGATTTTCAAAAACGTTCGTGTTTAACTTTTTGGACTACATGCAGAAAGGTGAACATTTTGTATATGACATACAAAATGTTCAATCTAAATCCAAACTTATATCTGTCTGTCTTTTCTTCACGCCTAAACTACTGAACCGATTTCTGTGAAATTTGGTACAGACATAGTTTGAAACTCGAGAAGGGACATAGAATAGTTTTTATACCAAAAATCTGCAGGAAGTCATTTTTCTACGCGAACGGAGTCGCGGGCAAAAGCTAGAAGAAATTGCATTTCTCGCGTCTAAAGCACACGAAAACTTTAAAGCAACTAAAACTGAAGATTATTAACTAAATACTACGAAGTCTGCCTTCCCTATTCGTATTCTAAATGTAGGCGTACGTCTCGCCATGCGCTGAATACTAAACAGATCACAAACAACGATAATAGACAATAATCTCTATATCGCAATGACATCTGTCAAAATTGCGCGCCAAAATATGTAGACTGTAGTTTGTCGCTGGAACTATGTTTCTTTTTTGTCTTCGTCTTTTACTTGTATCCTTAGGAAATAGATCTTCAAAATTCTGTAAACAGTTAGGACTAAGCATGCAGGCGGAATATTAATATACTTAGTTCTTAAAAATTGTGTGATAGTGAATATGTATGTATGCTGGCTAAGCTACTGGCTGCTGTGCAATGTGTCGTAGATCAGATTCCCGCACGGAATAACTCTTTGTGTGATCCACAAATTGTTGTTCCGGGTCTGGGTGTGATGTGTATGTGAATTTGTGTGTCTGCAGAAGCACGCAAGACACAGGAGAAAAATACTAGTATGAGGCAAAAAGAATGAATTTCTACGTTTAATTAATAGATACATACAATTCTTTAAAGAATACATTCAATATAAAATCGTGGCCGATCCTTAGCGAAAAGCCTCTTTTTAATCAAATTAGATTATTAATTAATTTTCTATTATCCTTATTTCTCTACTTAATTTATAGTAAACTCACCTAATTGTGTGACTCACTTAATTCGGAGATTCCACGTTTGGACTCTTTCACAGCGTTATAGGAGAAAAATCCAATACATTAAAATTAACCCTATGGTATGGTAATAAATTTTCTTTTCGTGTACAAATTTTTGTTACGATCGTGCGCGTGATATAATAACAATCACGGAATTTGTCATTGCGCCCGCCATGTTTGACGTTTCACCGGTAGCGTGCGACTGTGCTGTCATTATTTAATTAATTTTAGATAGAAAAGGTGAGTGTAAGTTCATGATACTTTGACAATTAGTTGTTAAAAACATATACTTGTTGATACCGATAAAGGTTTTAGTAATTTTTCATTTGTTTTTTCATAATACCTTATTTCCTGGGTTCAAAAAGTTAACGATTCTCAAGATTGCAACTCAAAACAGTGTCACCGAATTAACCAAGCAAACTTTTATTATTTTCAAATTCGTGTATTAATAATGGTTTTCAGTACGTGTACGTTAGTAGTTTAAGTCAGAAAATATTTATTTTTACTCAGGTAAAAAAAAGTAAAAAAAAGTAGGATCGCTTTGAACCATTTTAAAAAAAGTCCGTTATTTTTTTATCACATTATTAAGTGAGTTGTTTTTTTATTTACTATGCTTTATACACAAGATGTAAAGTTACAAAATGGGCCGACTGGATAACATGCTCGTTCTGTACTAATCCTTATCATACCCATTGCCAAAGTCAAATTATAAATGACAAACAAGAAATTTTTGTGTGTGATGGTTGTAGTATTGACGAGTCTAGTGGTGAAGAGTAAAAAACAATTATAAAGGCCAATATTGTTTTTTATTTTTCTCCACTTCTGATAGTTTCTCGTTGATTAATAAATACATAATTATTACTTTCAAAATGTTTATATTTTTTATTAATTTTATTTTTTGTTACTTTTATGTTAAAAAATTCGGTTATAACAGAATTAGAGAAGTACTATCACCGAATTATGGTGTTTGTCACAGAATTAAACAAGTCATCGCGGTTTGATTAAGCTCATTTTACGCTGAGTTAATTCATATATATTAAGATTACACTTGCTCATATGATAAATAGAAGACTGATTAGTGTTCCTATTAAAAATAAAAATAAAATTTATAAAGTTTAACCTGTTTTTTTTTTCCACATTATGTTTTGTCA